AAAACTTTTAATGTAATTCATTCAAGAAAAAAAACAAAAACAAAAACATCAATCATGTCATATAATAGAAAATATCAAACTTTATATCTATTCTAATTAATTAATAAGATAAAAATCTATTGAAATTATTTTTTGTTTTTTTTCGAACTTTTCTTCTCTAAATATTCTAACGATAAAGAATGTTAAAGAAAAAAAATCAAGCTTTCATCTAGATCATAATTTAGTTACAGGACAAATTGCTATATTTATTCTCGAGAAATGCAAATCTTCATTTCCACTGTCAAAATGAATTGCAGTTGTTTTTCTGTTATTCTATATGAAAAAAAATATTGAGAAATGAATACAATAGAAAAAAAAAAAAAGAAAACAATAAGCATAAAATTATATGAACAATAACACCATAATTATTGTACGACCCACTATGGTATGTAGTCTAGAGTATGTAAAAAAAAAAAAAGAAAAAAGTTATTTTTCATGAGGTTTTTATCATGTTCTCAAGAGATTCTATACTGAATGAAAGCTTGTTAAAAATAGAATTTTAGTACTTAAATTAATAACCCATAGGAGGATAATAGACAATAGAATAATGACATTTTTATGAATATATTCTAGTGTTTCCATAGATAGTCGATCATAAATACAGAAAATGATTTCGTCTATCGGATTATATATTTTACTGATCATTTTAATACAAAAACAATTTTTTTTTTTATTAATTTTAATATTTAATAAACAGCAATGTTATAGTTGTAACATTACTTATGAGAATATTAAATACTAATCGTAAAATTTTTACAAAGCTTCATTATTATTTTTTTTTCGTTAATTCATTAAATTCATAACTTATATTTTCAATAAGGTTTCATTTAATGTAAAAATTTATTATTTACACTAATAGACATTCAAAAAAAAAAAGAAATATTTTCTTCGCATTCTGTACATGACATTTAAGTAACATATCATTCAGAATATTTTGTTAATTATTCTAAGTAACTTACATTGCATGCAAGAAAATCATTGTAGAAGCTCAATTAATAATCTTGTAGTTGTCAAATATTGCTTTTGAGTTTATGAAGAACGTGCCTTAATTATTTTCTTAGAAGTACTAGATGAAAAAAAAAAATAAAAGAATGTCCATATGGCATGTATCAGATAGAGAAAGCAAACATTTATATATATATATGTTTGATCTTTTTTTTTTTCGTTACAAGTTCCTTTCCGATTAATATTTCATATACAAAAATACAGATGTTATTCTATCGTAGGATTTCATGTTAAGATAAATCTAACTAGATATGAATGTTAAGACGTGACAAAGTTTATATCAATTTATTTAAAACAAAAACAAAAAAGAGACTGACACTCATTTCTATGCTAGTTGTACTTTTATTTTATGTGTTAAGACTAAATAACATACTGATTTAATTTATTCTTTATTAATAAACGAAAATCTTAAGATCTATTCACAACTATGACATTCTCGTAATTTATTAGTTAATTGTTTATATGTCTGTAAAAATCATATATATCGTTGTATTCGTAATACATAGGAAACCGTCTATTAGCGACCTCATAACTGAATTATGTATTGAAGAGTTTTACAGACTTCATCTTGTGTCTTTTCTATTTGTAAGATAAGAAAAAAAACATGTTTTCTGTAGATTTTTGTTAATTTTATTATTGAATCATCCGAAAATACATCATTGGTTCATTGTCGCCATAAATCTCGTTCGTTCTTGAAGACTCATTTATTCCATTCATACCCGTTCAGATAACGTTACACATGGTCGATTTCCCAATTGTTCTAATATACATATTTGTGTTTAATAATAGTTCATTACGACAATAGAATTTTCTATATTTTTTTTTGTTTTTTTGAAAAGAAAAGCTATATCAATATTTAGTAAAGATGATGAGTTCGATTCATTCGACAAAGAACGTATCGAAGCGGAAATAGTTCGTGTAGTGGTACTCGTCACAGCACAGACCAATTTCCTTAATCAGAGATCTCTTTTTCTTTTTTTTTTTTGTCAGTTTCTAGTTTTCTTTTTTTTTGTATTGGATTGTTGTTGTTGTTGTTGTTTTTCATCTATCTTTCTCTCGTCTCTCTTCTCTTTTTCGTATTCTCAATGTGTTCAATATCAATAATGATTATCGTTTGCTCGTCCCTCATCTTCTCGTCTTTTTCTCAAGTATAAGAACAACAATGATGCGATAAGCGATTTTCATCTTTATGTTGGCGGGTGTTGTATGTGATGTGTAGCTAACAAAAGAACTCGAGATATTGCGGACTACATCAAGTAAATGCGTGTGAGAAAAAAAAAGAAACACGGACAAGAATAAAGAAATAAGAAAAAAAAAAAAAAGAAGCGAAGGAAAAAAAATCGAGTTCCGAACATGTCGTCGCAAGGGTAAAAAGCAGCAGCAACTGCAATGGCTATGGTAATGTGTAGAGTAGTAGTCGTTGTTATAGTAGAACAACGACAAAAATGTGTTGTCGATTTGAAGAGCGAGATGGCGTGCTCTTGTATGCGCAAAAAAAAGGGTGAATGAGAAAGAAAATGTCGCGAGAAGAACGGTAACGGGAAAAACAACAACAACAACCATCACCAACATCATCATCATCATCATCATCAGTAGCAGCAGCAGTAGAATCAGCGACAGCAAATGGAATCGGGAGAAGAAGGAGCGAAGAAATATACAGGAAGAAATTGTAGTTAAGTCACGATTTGTTTGAGAACACAAAAAAAAAATGATACTGATTGACTGTATAAGACGCCTACGCAATTATATGAGTAAGATTGAAACTTACTACTACGTTTTCTCACTATAGAACAAAAAAAAACATTTTTTTTTTGCTATCTTAAATCTTGTGCATCGGTTCATTAAGCAAATAATCATATATATACCGCTCGGTTTCTATTTAGTTTATTAATATTATTATTGTTTTGTTACCTCTTTCAATCTATCACATTAGTCAACTTGATGGTGTTTCTATTCTGAGATATAGACAAACAAACGTTACTCATTATTAAATATGTATGTATTTATATATAAATAATATTCTTTTTTTTTCTTATGTTTTGACAAGAAGTTTATTTATACGGATAAAATAACTTGTTATACCTTGACTTCTTTTTTTTTCTTCATTATTCTTTTTTTCTTTTTTCGTTTTATACCTTTTGAAAGTAGTATTATTGATGATGATGATGATGATGATGACGACAAAGTAAGCCGTGATGGAAAAAGAAAGACAAGAGTTGTATTGAAAAAAAAATGAAAGAAAGAGAATAATAATTTTCCATTTCCCTTGTCAGCATCTGAATATAGCAGAAGCAAGTCTGGTTAGTCGAAAATAATAACATGCTATTAATAGTTATTATGTGACTAGTCAATGTAAATTTTTCTTTTTTTGCTTTTTAATTTCTTGGTTATTTGTTTTCTTTTTTAATAGTTACAGAAAATATAAGTTAATTGTCTATTTTACTTCAACACCTGTATATTCTATTAATCATCCTTTTTTCCTTTTGTTCGTAGGTTTTTTTTTCTTCTTCTTCTTCTTCTATTAGTAATCATTATAATGTTTTATAGAGTCATTGTTTTCTATTATTTTTTTTTTCTGCCACTCTTCTCTTCGTTCAAAATAGATAATGCAAAAAGGAAAATCAGTGTGGCCGATCGTTGAACAAGATTATCTGATTAGGTGATTATTCCGATCTTTCTCTCTGTCTCTCTTTTGCTCGCTTTTTTTTTCTTCTCTTTTTCCTTTTTTTTCTCTATTAGTATGTCTATAGTTCGTATCCATACATCATCATTGCCGAGCGACCCGATTTTCCTACTATTGCTCTTGTTGTTAGAGCATATACCCTTCATGGTCTTTTTCTTCCTTCGCTTCACTAACCGCACCGAGCAGTACGGAGAAAAGAGACCCTGTTATTGAATAATCGAGCAAGAAACAAGAAGAAGAGAAATGAGAACTGACGATAGAAAAATATGAAGAGGAATGTCGAGAGGACAAGACCAGTAAGTTCTATTCTATTCAACATCTATATATATATATAGATATGCGTAGGCAGCATATGTAGGAGTTATATTATAAAATGACAGAATAAGACAGGTGAAAATAATGATCTGATCTTTTTCGATATAAAATATTTTATTGCGTAACAAACAAATTTGATCAGACAAATAATATAATACATGAAATACGAGAGAAAAAGAGATTGATCAATATACTATTTGTCATATGTCAAATTTCGACATATGAATGAAATATTGAGACGAATATTTTAATTACGATATTTTTCTTTTTTTTTTGTTTTTTGAGTAATTGTATATGTTAACCTTCGTGACAAATCATCTATCTATCTATCTAATGACACTACTATTTAATATCAAAGCTGTTGATCAATAGTGAGAAAAATCTAACATGTAAAGGTCGACATATTTCATTTCATTTGTTAGATTTGTTTCCCTGTATTATTCCACGTGGGAATCTTATAGATAGAGTAGAATATTACCTATTTTTCTTTTTCTTTTTTTTTTTTTTTTTTTTTTTCTACTCGAGTATTCAGATTAGCATTCGAGCAAACAGAATGCGAAAAGAGAAAAAAAAAAGGAGAACGACAGTAGTTTTGCAAATAAGGCTACTAGGAAGAAAACGTATGTGTTGCTATTGTGGCCAAAGAAAACGACCAAACGAGATATGATAGAGAATGGATCTGTGTTCTCTTGTATTCTCATGAGACATGCGTTATCAGTAGATTTCTTTTCTATTTTTCTTTCTTTTTTTGTCTTTTTATATTCAAGGTCTGTCTGTCGTTGTATGTTAAATAAATGAATGAATGAATCACGAACTAGTACTTACTTTATTTTCAACGACAGAATAACTTCTTCAAAATATTTATACTAACATTCAATTAGTTAATTAAATTTTATCCAAAACAAAAAGACAAACAAAATCCTTTTTATCCCATACATATCATTATATATATTTCAAAATGGCAAAGAAGAAAAAAACCACCACAGGTCATAATAATATAACTGCTGAAGAAGCTGGTCGAGAATTTGGTGTTTCTGTTCGAGAATTAGAAAAATTAATGCAAACACGAGGACATGATGGTGTTATAGAACTTAATGAAATATATGGTGGTCTTAGTGGTCTTGGACAAAAGCTCAAAACAAATTTAATAACTGGTAAAATAAACTAAAATAAATAAGACTATTATTATTTTTTTTAATTTTATTTAGGTTTATCCGATGATGAAAATGATATATCAATACGTGTAACTGCATTTGGTAAAAATGAAATTCCACCAAAACCACCAAAAACATTTTTTCGTCTTATGTTTGATGCACTTCAAGATGTTACACTTATTATACTTATTATCTGTGCTGTCATATCATTTGCTTTATCATTTTATCATCCAGCTGAAGAAACATTTATAGCTGAAACTAGACCGAGTAAATTTATAAGCAACAAAAAAAAAAAATTATTTCTTATGTGTTTATTTTTTTTTTTTTTTTTGTAGAAGAAGCAAATGTTGAATGGATTGAAGGTGCAGCAATTATTATAGCTGTAATTGTTGTTGTTCTAGTAACGGCATTTAATGATTGGACAAAAGAACAACAATTTCGTGGTCTTCGTTCAAAAATAGATTCCGATAAAAAATTTAATGTTATTAGAGATAATGTAGTACGACAAATTCCAACAGCAGACATTGTTGTTGGTGATATATGTCAAATTAAATATGGAGATGCATTACCAGCTGATGGTGTTGTTGTACAATCAAATGATCTTAAAGTTGATGAATCATCATTAACAGGAGAATCAGATTTAGTTAAAAAACATGAATCAAAAGATCCATTTCTTCTTTCAGGTTAGAAAACAAAAAATCAAAATTAAACTATTATATTAATTGAATTTATTTTTTATTTTTTTTTAAGATACAAATGTTATGGAAGGTAGTGGAAAAATGTTAGTATTGGCTGTTGGTGTACATAGTCAAAAAGGATTATCAATGAAATTGTTAGGTGCAACTAAAGAAGAAAGTAGTGATGATAAAAAACCAGCTGTTGATAAAAAACAAAGTATGATAGAAGATTTTATGTTATGTTTTATATGTTCCCTCAACTTTTCCTAATACATATTCAGATGCTACTGCCGATGCAGACGTTAATGAACGTCTAGTAAAGACAGGATCGCCTTCAGGTATTTTTCTTTTAAATTAATGTCGTTAATTCTATATTAGTATTGTCTTAAATAATTGTTAATAAATTATTACTTAAAACTGCTGCTTGCTTTTTTTTTTGATTATGTTAAAGAAAAATAAAATTGTTTTTGTTTTTTTCCTTTTGTTAAAATTAGATGCAACGGCTAATAATCATGATGCAACTGAATTACAAGAAGTTTTACCTGATAATGCTAAACAAAAAGATGATAATGATGATTCAGAACGTCATAATATTACAGAACGATCAATTTTACAAGCAAAATTAACAAAATTAGCTATTCAAATTGGTTATGCAGGTAATAAAATATTTTTCTTTTTTTTGTTATCAAATCGTATTTTACATAATAGGAAAATAATTAGATCTGTTTTTGATTGATACTAATAATAGAAGAATTTTATTGATTTAGAATAAATTAAAAAAGTCAAAAAAAAACAAATTTTTTTTGTGTTTTAGGAATGACAATTGCTATTTTAACTGTACTTGTTCTATTAATTCGATTTTCTGTTGAAGAATTTATTCAACGGTAAAAAAAATATATATACTTTTTTTATTCATATTATTTCTTTAATTAATTTCTAGACGTGAACGATGGAGTAGTAAATATTGGAATCGAATTGTACGATATTTAATAACAGGTATAACAGTATTAGTCGTTGCTGTACCTGAAGGTTTACCATTGGCTGTAACAATATCATTAGCTTATGCTGTTAAAGTAAATTAATTCATTTTTTGTATTTTTGAAAATTTTATAATTTTTTTCTTTAGAAAATGATGTTAGATAATAATTTAGTTCGTCATTTGGATGCATGTGAAACAATGGGTAATGCAACAGCAATATGTTCAGATAAAACAGGAACATTAACAACAAATCGTATGACTGTTGTACAAGTATATGTTGGTGAAAAACATTGGAAAAATGTTGAAAATCCAGTTAAAGCCAAAGAAATGGTAATACCGGCTACAATAAAAGAAGTTATTTTTGAAGGTATATCTATTGATAGTAGTTATTCATCAAAATTATTAGTAAGTTTTTTTTTTTTTTGTTATACTAATTTCAATGACGAAAAACAACGAGACGTTTTGTTTTTTTTTAAAGCCTCCAGTTGAAAGAGAAACATTACCAAGACAAATTGGAAATAAAACTGAATGTGCTCTATTAGGTTTTGTTGGTACACTTGGTGGAAGTTATGATGAAATACGTATAAATTATCCTGAAGAAAGATTTGTTCATGTTTATACATTTAATTCTGTAAGAAAAAATATGTCAACTGTTATACGTCGACCTGATACAACTGTACGTTTATATACAAAAGGTGCATCAGAAATAATATTAAAAAAATGTAAAACAATATTAAATCGTAATGGAGATATTGTACAATTTTCAAATGTTGATTATGATCGTCTTGTACAAACAGTTATTGAACCAATGGCATGTGATGGTTTACGTACAATATCTATTGCATATAGAGATTTTTCATTAAATGATTTACCTGATTGGGATGATGAAGCAAATGTTGTTGATCAATTAACATGTGTATGTATATGTGGTATTGAAGATCCTGTACGACCTGAAGTACCTGATGCTATAGCTAAATGTCGAAGTGCTGGTATAACAGTACGTATGGTTACAGGTGATAATGTTAATACAGCTCGATCAATAGCACTTAAATGTGGTATTATATCACCAAATGATAGTTTTCTTGTACTTGAAGGAAAAGAATTTAATCGACGTATAAGATCAACACCAGATGGAGAAGTAAAAAAAAAAAATAATTTTAATATAAGAAAAATGATTGTATTTTATAGGTTGAACAAAATTTATTTGATAAAGTTTGGCCACAATTACGTGTATTAGCTCGTTCATCACCATTAGATAAATATGTATTAGTTCGAGGTATAATTGCATCAAAAATAAATCCAACACGTGAAGTTGTTGCTGTTACCGGTGATGGAACAAATGATGGACCTGCTTTAAAAAAAGCTGATGTTGGTTTTGCTATGGTTAGTATTTCTTTTTTTTTTTTTTAATTATATTCAAATAGTTGTAATTTATAATGAGAGAAATATTTCTATTGATTAATTACTTTTCATTTGAGAATATGTGTAAGTTCTAAGGTGTTATGAATATTGTGAAAATGAGTTCGAACCTTTGACTAATTTCTAGAAAGATATAGCACTTTTGTCATAGTTATTAATATAATATTCTAGTTTTTTTTTTAGAAAAAAATAATTTTTTAAATTTTGATTAAAAATTTTTTGCATATCGATAAGTCTTAATAAGAATAATTTATTGTAAAAATTTGAAATATTTCTAATACATTATTCTTTCAAAAAAAAACTTATCTCTATGCAAAAATTTTTAATCAAAATAGGAAAATCATTTTTTTTCTTAATGTCCCTGAGGGACGGGAGTAGATAACGGCATTATATTAAAAAAAAAAAGTATCTCAATAGTATTAAGCTCGAACTCATTTTTTTAGAATATTCATAACTAATTATAATCTACATAATATACTTATTCTCAAATCTAAATATACAATAAAAAAAAAAAAAACTTTTATTTTTGTTAATAGGGTATACAAGGTACTGATGTAGCAAAAGAAGCATCTGATATTGTACTTGTTGATGATAATTTTAATTCAATTGTCAAAGCTGTTATGTGGGGTCGTAATGTATATGATTCTATATCAAAATTTCTTCAATTTCAATTAACTGTTAATGTTGTTGCTGTATTTTGTGCTTTTATTGGAGCATGTATTGTTAAAGAATCTCCATTGCGTGCTGTACAAATGTTATGGGTTAATTTAATTATGGATACATTAGCATCATTAGCACTTGCAACAGAAGTACCAACAGAAGAATTATTAACACGTAAACCATATGGACGTACACGACCATTAATATCTCGTACAATGATGAAAAATATTCTTGGTCATTCTATTTATCAATTATGTGTTATGCTTTTTATTTTATTTGCTGGTAAGAAAAAAAAAAAAAACAATATTTTTATTTATTTTTTTTGTAAATATATATATATTAAGGACCTAAAGTATTTGATATTGATGATGGTCGTCCAGTTGATAGTGTATTTAAACCATCTGAACATTTTACAATGATATTTAATGTATTTGTATTAATGACATTATTTAATGAAATAAATTGTCGAAAAATTCATGGTGAAAAAAATGTTTTTCGTGGAATATTTACAAATCCTATTTTTTGTGGTATATGGATTGTAACATTTGTTGTACAAATACTTCTTGTTCAATATGGTTCATTTGCATTTTCTTGTGTTGCATTAACATTTGAACAATGGATGTGGTGTTTTCTTTTTGGTGTTACAGTTCTTGTATGGAATCAAGTAAGAAAAATAAAAAAACCAACTGTTTTATTTTTGTATTCGAAAAATTTTTTGTATATATTTTAGATAGTTAATTTAATACCGGTGACACGTCATATGCCAAAATGGGGTGCAGGTGAAGTATATGATCAAACATCACCTATTGATATAGGTCCAGAAGGACAATCAAGACCAGGAGCAAGTCTAACAAAAGGACAAATACTTTGGTTAAGAGGAATAACACGTCTTCAAACACAGGTTTGTAAAAATAAAATACTAAAACATCAAAAGAATATTTATAGGTATCATTATCTTCTTCTTCTTGCAAATATTTAAAAAAAAACTATAAACTCAACAATATATCACTGGTGTTTGTTCTATTTTATGCAATTAACCACAATTCTCTTGAGAAATAATGTCAGCATATATATATATGTTATTAAAACTTGCTTAATTTATCTTTCTCTCTTTTTTTATCATATTAATAGTATTTGCAAAAAAAAAAATTTGACTTCGCTTATTTTCAATGTATGCATGCATTTAAATAACTATACGCTGCCTATTAATCATTTATATCAATCGAGAAATATATATGTATTTTTTTTTCTTCTCTTTTGATATATTAGATTGAATATAGAATAGAAATTAATCTATATTTTTAAGAGATAAGAATATATTTTTTTTTGAGTGATAATGAAAAGAAACTAATGAAGAAGTTCATTAAAATATTATTAATTTTATGTTTTGTTTTGATTAATTCTTGTTTTTGTTTTTTTCTATTATTATTATTTCTCTATAATCCCTATGACAGGTACAAGTTGTTAAAACTTTCCAAGAACATGTTGCCAAATCGCCGTCTTCCCAATGGTAAACTACCATCATCTATATGAAAGCGCATATGCGCTTAACGTCTATTGATTTATTCATCCTAAAATACCATACCATATGCATCCATTTCTCTTGAGGTTTGACCCGTCTGTTCGATATATAAATATATATATATGTACATGTCTCCTTTTTCTGTGTTTCCCCTATTCGTTTTAATCACATTGATTTGTTATGTATCTGTGTGTGTGTGTTTGTTGTGTCTTGATATAGTTTAATATTTTTTTTAATACCCTAAGCAAAAACCAACCAAATTAAAAATTTTTTTTATTTTACTAATAAATATAGAATAGACTTATGCTTTTATTGTTGTCTTGGCTTTATTATTATTATTTTTTCTAACTGCTTTTATCTTTGAATGTTGGTTGTATGTGCACGAAAATTGATCAATTATATTTTGTCTTTCCCTATTAGTATTATTATTATTATTATGTTTTTTGTCTGTCTAAATTGTTTATTTAATTATTCTTTATGTATCTTCTTGTAGCTTGTTTTGATACAAATCAAAAAGTTTATTTTTTTTCTTTTTTTTATTCGGACAATTCTAGCTTCGTGTGATAAAAGCATTTGAAGATTCAATCGATCCACACCCGCCAGAATTTGCAACATTAGATAGGCTACGAGCCTATACTGTACCTAAACTATCATCGTATTATTACGATACTCAACGTCCTCATCTTCTTAATAATCTAACTACCACTGATAATCAATCACTACCAAGAAGAATTTTTCAAGATACTGAAGTTTAAATACAAAATATACAACAAATACATAAAAAAAAAAAACAACAAAACAAACAATTAAAAAAGAAACATTTACATCGGTGGGCTTGTTTCTCTTATGCTTCCAATCTCTATTTTTTTTCCTCTATGTCTCTCTTTAAATCAATGTATTATCCTATCTTCTTTGTTGCTCTTTTTTTTTTCTTATGTATTTGCGCGCATTTAGAGTATGTGTATTTCTCTTTTCTTTTTTTCTTCTGTCTTTTTTTTTGCAAACGTGTGATAAAGTATTTTCTTTTTTTTTTTAAATTCTAAATTACACAAGAATTTCTTTTTCTTTCTTTATATTTTTCTCTATCTTCACTCTCTGCAAAATCAGTCAGTCATAGTAGAGCGGTGCTACATTACAGATGGTTGGCAATGTTGAATGCAAAAAGAAGATATAAAAAACAAAAGAGTCTCTCTCTCTATATATATATATGATAATTAGGATTCGATATCTTAAGTCGAGGGAAGAGATTAACATACACCGAGTGATGATGACTGTCTACCGCCTTCTCTATATATGACCTCTGTCCCTAGACTAGATAGAATTCAAGTTTATTCTTCTTTTTTGTTTCTTCTTTTTTTTCGTCTCTGTGTTTTTTTTTTCTTTTTTCTTTGTGATGAAGATGATGATGATCATAATCATATCTGTAGTCGAATAATATGAATATGAAAATAATGAAAAAAAAAAAAAGTCTTTTCTAATTTATTCCATATCAATAAAAGAAATAAACAAGCTGGAGGATGATATATGTATATATATATATATACAAATCTTGTTCTTATTGTTTGTGTTCAGTTCTATAAAGGAAATTTTACTAGCTTAAATGAATGAAATATATTATTTATCTTTATCTGTTTAGAATATAATCTTTTGGATTTTTGCCTTTTTTTTAAATTCTACTGTCTCTCTTCTTTTCTTTGTTTTATCTTCATAGATTGCTGTAGTCGATGCTTTTTATCAACCACCAATAACTAATCAACCAATATTATCCACGACATTCAAAGAATCAAGATCGAATACTTTAAATAATATTGGAACAGAATTAGAGTAATTCATATAATAACTGATTAAATTTTAGTTGTATTTGTGTGTGTGTGTGTGTGTGTGTGTGATGGTTTTTCATTTCTTTTGAATGTGATAACAAAAAAACAACAAATTTCTTTCTTTTTTTTTTCTTTTTTTTGCTTTACTTGCTCGCTATGTCAATGTTCTGTCAAACTAATGGAATAAAAATAGTAGATGTCTTAGTTCTAATGTCTAAAAAATATTGAATTATATATTGATGATTAACAGAACAATTCATTGAATGATAATAGAAAAATATTCTTATGAAATACACAGATTTTAACCATATGTCTTATGAAAACAATACAATGTAGAATAATAACAAAAACAAAACCTGAATGATATTAGACTAAATAATTATTCTTTTGTTTTTTTTTCTTCTTTGACACATGAATGAATTCTTAGAGTTGATGAGTTTTTTTTTTTGTTTACTATCTAATTGGAGCAAAACTAGAATTTGATTAACTGTTCTGGTGTTGATATCAAAATTTTATATTCTTATTTAATATAATTATTATAGATTATATTCTCTCATCAACATCATTAGATAGAAGAAAAATAAATCATTTTCTTAGAAAATAATAATTATTTTTCAATGAGATATATATCATGTGACTTGATAACATAAGTCAATGAAGATATAATTATTTGAAACAAAAAAAAAGAAATTTGAATGTTTCAACTAATAATTGAAAGCAAATCTAATCAATCAATACTGAGACAAAACGATCATATTTTTATTTTTATTTTTAACTTTAGTAATTAATATGTGGAACTATTTAGTCTTATCGTAGGAAGTTGCAAATGAAACCTTTTGTTTTCTTATGTATATTTCTTATTTTTAGATATAAAAAATATAATTTACTTCACGTCTATGTCATTTTACAACATACAAGGAATCGGTACATATTACTATTACATACATATATGTGGGAAGTATTTAGTATGAGGGAAAAAATCTTTCAGTTACAGATTTCATCTGATTGACAGCGCTAGGGTATCATAATGTATTTTTTTTAAAGAAGAACCATTTACTTAAAAAAAACACTATATTACGTACATAAACATTAGAAATGCAAAAAAAAAGGATATTATGAAAGTCTATTTGTCACTCAGAATGAATATGTGCGTCAATGATTATTTGTCATATAATGGATATATGATATTCAAACAAGCAAATAATGGGTGGGCTTAGTTATGCTTGTTTTTTTTTCTTGTATGACTGATCAAAGAAAAAAGAAGTGAACTATATAAGAACCATTGCAACTATCGATTGTATTAGACAGTTTTATTTTATAAATTTTCATGTCATCATTCAAAGTTCATACAAATCCTATGCAATTATTAACAAAGAAAATTTTTGATGCAATTGAAACATTTTTTCATGATCTTTGGTCAAAATTAAAAGGAAAACAAGAGTCACAAGAACAACCAGTCGAAAGCTCAACGTTCAAACGATTTAAAAATCTTTTTGAAGATCGTCAAATAAAATCAAAGAAGAAAATTCGAGAAATAAAGAATTCTGCAATTCAAAAACAACTCAAAACTGATAAAAAGACCAAAAAATTGTATACGAATAATAATTATGAAAAGAAAAAAAGTCGTGTTTTTTCTTTTCTTCTAAGTCAATGACATCGAAAAAGTAGATTTTATTTTATTTTTTTTGTTATATCATTTTATAAAAATAAAATAAACAATATAGTTATACTAGAAAAATATTTTTTTACATATCAGAATTTTAAATGAACTCAGCAGTAATCTAATATCATTAAACTTCTGTAGGAATTGTTATTCTTCTTTTTGTGAAAAATACTTATTTTGAATATGATCTCGAGTGCATAATCATATATAGTTTTTATAGATATTGATATTATTATGATCAGATGATATCATATAAAAGATAATTAAATTTTTTCCTACAGTAGAAAAGTTTTCTTAAATCGCGAACGCTTTTTTGTGTGTCAGACTGAACTCATAATGACGTTTTTCGTTTCCTATCCTATTAGTACTCATAGTTTTCGACCAATCTCTTTTTCTAATCGCTGATCTTCTAACAATGTAAAACGATCATATTAATATTTGTGAATAAGTATCATATCAAACAATGGAATCTTCATATTGATTTTATTCATTGTAGAACATTAAAAAAATAAACAAAAAAGAAATTTCTTTTGTTTTTAATATCATTTAAAACTGTAATATTATCATGATAAAGATATTCATTTCATCTATGTCGAGCGCAAATTATTCGATGATCGATAAATGAGTTTCTTGCGAAATTTGAACTTTAAATAATATATTTATATGAGAATATGCCTTATTTTCAAAATTTCGAGCTAAAAAAAGCTTTAAGGTTTAAAGTTAAAGTTATTTCTGGGCTTCTGAAACCCATAAAAATCACTTGTGGTTTTTTCCTTTGAGAAAAAACCTTTTCATGTAATATACTAAAAATAAATGAGACATAATAGATGGTTCGGAATTTTTTTATATCAGCGATGAGTTCTAATATGAGTGGATTGATATATATATCAGATATATTTATGTTGTTGCCTAATGCCAATATTATTATTTCGTGTAAAAAAAAAGCACTTTCTTAGAAACACCGAATGTTATCTTTAAAACGTCATCATTGTATTGCATAAAGAAGAATATTGTTGGGATACATTAATGCACGTAGTATTGATGATTACATGAATAATCAAGTGTAAAACTACCAGTCAAATATCATAAGATTTCGTCTATTGAATTGTCGAAAACTAATCTGAAAGCCATGTTTCTTTTTTTTTTTTTATTCTTCCCATTTGAAAGTATTACCTTTTACTTGCAGATTATCTTCTATCTTGTTTTCTTTATTTGATTTTCTAGTTAATAAAAAAAAACCGCTTATTTTTAAAGGTAGTTTTCATGAAGGACGTTAATCTATGTGTTATTATCTCAATGTAAGATTTGATTTGAATAAAAAGTCTAATCGTAAAATGTAATAAAAATTTATTGCTTTTATCTAGCTGTCTATGCATGTAATGTATATGAATAGTATAGTGAATGGTGGAAAAGAAAAATACAATGACTTTTACAGAATGATATTAAGATGGCAATAAATGCCACGATACTCAGTCATTGATGATGTCGTGTAAAACTTTTCTTGTTATTAGTTATCATATTTGCACTAATTGGTGTTCTATTGAGAACCCAGCATGATCTTGGTGATTCACTAGTTTTTTGTGTGACGTCACATACATATTGGATATGACATTCGACAATTTTAAACAAGATTCTATTGAAATTATTCAAATATCTATGGAGTTTCATCAAATTACCGAGAATATATGATAGAACTTGACAAGCTCAAGGTCTGAGATCCTTTGTTCTGAGTAGCTTTAATTTGAAGTATGTTGTTCTACTCAAATGATGAAGAGAATTGTTCATCAATAAATATTGATGAACTACGAAAAATTAAAATAAATCAATGAATAGAAATGAGATAATAAAAGTTACAAAGAATTTTTTTTAATGGAATTTTCATTGAGTGATTGTATTACTACTCATAAGCATTTTAATCGAACTTTAACACATGTGAACTATTATAGTTTTGATTTGATGATTTCAATTTGGATACTAGTAAATATATTTGACAGTCTATTAGATTGAATAAACTACAAAGATAGATTATCTTTTGGTAAATAATTTAAGGTGAAAAGAAAAATTTTTCGTAACGTAATGATCTTCCTTTCAAAGTTGACTTTTCACTTTTGCATGTTATTTTTTGTTTTCGAGAGAAAGTATTCTTAAAAAGTAGAAGACATCAAGTCCTTATCTATCAATATCTCTTCTTTTTTTTTTTAAATTTTCTTTTGATGCTTTGCTTTTAGACAATACGGTCTTATGGTGAATAAAACAACTTAATCACACAGATTTGAGAAGATTTATTTTTTGTTCATTACAACAAAAATAATTTATGATTTTGAGCCATCTTCTAGATGAAAGTCTTCAGTCAGGAAGCTAAAACTTTATACAGAAGGAAAGTTACCAGCTGACCAAATTTTTTGCTAGCATGCATTCTGAATGTGTGATGGTTTACTGTTTGGTTGTGACCAATCTATAATTTGCCTCTATATTAAATGATGATTTATAAATACAGTAGTATATATGAGATTAACGAGAGTAAAATGAGTACCGATGATTTCTCTTGATGAGTTGCTCCTTGTCCGTTCACTATAGTTGATACTCGAGAATTGTCTTAATATTTTTCTGAGTTCAAACAAACCGACACAGATTACTTGACCTCTGGAAAAAGTAAAGCTGAGATAGGGTGCGTCAAACATTTGAACGCTTTTTTGTGTCGAGCTAATTAAAGCAATTCTGTGCCCCATCTGTTCTCCTTGTCCATTTTCTCCTTTTAGTTCTTCCTACTCTTCCTCCTTTTTCTCACCTCTGCACTTTGTCTCTGATCACAAACTCTATAAAACGACACTATCATGTACAGTTCTCGACCATATTAACAATTGCAATCATTGTCCTAGGATTGTTTTATAACACTACAAAAAAAAACGGAGATATAATAGTGTTGGGGTTTGTCATTTTATATCCTAGAGGTCACCGTTTTCTTGGAAACGATATTTTTTGTTTGGATTCATCTAAACAATAGACTCAAGGAAAAATATTAATGTACAAAATACATTCCATCTATTTTAATTACGATGTGATAGAGATCATGTTACGTTTTTCTAAATGAGAAACATATATTCTTTGAATATGATATTAGATGGAATGGCATACAACATTATATATTCGTCCACAATGGTCGAATGCACGTCGTATTTCATAAGTCTCCACTTTGAACAGTTTTTAATGAGTCTTAACAAGAAACGTGTAAATGACAATTAAATAAATTTTACAATGTTTTCGGTTGAGAACACTTATTTGTCATTGTTGTAGAAGAATCGTTTAACTTGAAATTTATCTTTTTTTATGTATTGTTAATGTTTTGTGTCATACGCAGCACGTGTCATTGTGTGTTGAGAATATATCTTTTCTTCATCTGTTATTTTTAGGATAGGAGGTAACGATAAATTTATCTTCTTTCATACTTGATATAAGAATGACTTTATCATGATCTTCTCTTTGTTTTTGACTACCTTTCTATCTTTGATTACAAGTGAAATAAAAGCAAAACTGCTGATATCACATCACTTGGAAAAATAACTAAACGAGCACGAGTTCTCATTTACTAAGTATGGTAGGTATTGCAACAATTGTTTTCTTTATGTTTGTTTTTGAAGTAATATTATAACAGTCCTACTACATAGGTCAAGTTTCGTCTTCTAAAAATATACATTAGTATTATAAGCCAGATTACTATATCTAAGTTTCAAAAATTAGGCGGACTTACTGTAAAGAAAATCAGAAGAAAAACTATGAAAGATCCATTTATTTAAGCATTTTTCTCTTTATCATATGGGTTCTATAGTGAAAATATGCTCTTAACAGTCATGTCACCTGAAGAAGACAAATAATTATTAAAACTCTCATCATCGCTCATTTCAGGATCGTTTATTGGCATATACAAAAAAAACAATAGAGATGAAAAGTTGATTTATAACTCAGAAAGAACTAAAAAACAGATAAATATATATGAAAGATAAGTTATTTTCTATGTATTGCTCTTAGTTAAAAATCATGCTAACATGCATTTGCGATATTGTCCGACTATTAAAGCTAATTTTTGTGTCACCTAAGTTGATGAAAGAACAGTTTTTTTATTCAACTATAATAAGAAAGTTTGGATGTAGTTGCGTTTTGTCATAATCTGTTTCTACATCCAACCCCACACCGTGATTTATACGTCAGTGGGTTGCTAGGTTCGGAAGGTTCACGGCACTGTTATGATTGTTGTGGGATTCCTACCGTTTGTCGCTAGTATCGATCAACTAGTGAGTTAGCTGTCATTCCTGAACATTGATTGATGTGACATTTATACCTCTCTAGACAAACCAATATGTCTGTCTGCGTGCACCTTCTATCGGCTTCAGTAATTGAGTGACAGGCAGCATCCAATGAAATTGCCACTATGACATCGAAAATCTTGTTAATTCAGGTGTTTTTACTTTTTATCAGTGGCAGTACTTCGGTTTTAATCGTTCTAACAAGCATTTTACCATTCTCTTTTTGTTTTTCAGGTTTGAAACTTTGAATCACTGAAATTAGATTGATTATTAATGGCATCAATACTTTCTGCCATAAAAAACATTTTCGTTTCTGGAGAACACTCTGATAAAGACAAAACAAATATAACTAATATAACACGTATTGCTATTAATCAATCTGGTAGTGTTGGATCGTTTTACGATGCATATCAAGATCAAATATTAGGAAAAATAGGTATAAGTTGCAAAACAGACTTGTCTACATCACAAAAACCATTAATATGCGTAGTACACAAAGGTCGAACACGTGACACTGAAAATTTACTTGAAATAGTTGGTATTAGTTATGCATTACGATTGAGCATCTTGCTAAAAATAGTTCAACCGACTGGTATTGCCTCTCTTATTGATTATCCTCGAGTAATTGATAAACATACTCGTTTTTTATACATTCATCAAGAAAGTCGAATAGAATCATGTCAAAACCATCTAATCAAAGTAATAAAATCGTATAAATCTTTCACATTACAAACAAGTGCAACACATATTATAGCTCAAATTATTTGGGGTATACATGCTATTGTTATTTTACAATTACCGCCTGATCAAGAAACAGAAATCGATAACTTATTACAACAAATATGTCACTGTTTAAATCATAATGAATATCACATGGAATTCACACCGGAAATAAAACATCTCATTAATAAAATCATATCTACTACATGCTACTCAAATATACATGATTTAACTAAGTTCACCAAATTGGACGATATTTATAGACGAATTTCACAAATGAGAAAAAACTTTAACGAACACCGTCAATTGGAATATATCCTCATTTCTATTCCATCATCTTCTCCACAACATAATAGTAATACTACAGTAAATATTGATATTGATAGAATTCATATTGATTATCTTGAACAATATTTACAACAACGAACATCTGAAATGAAAATCTTAAAATTAAAACTTGACCATAATTTACCTGAATTACTACAGGGAAATTTACAAGAACAGTTGAATAGTGCTCGTGATGATTATTTAAAGTTAAAACATTATCACGATTATGATATTCAATGTATTCGTGAGTCACTTATTAAAGTACGACAAGGACAACCACAAGAAATTCTATTCAATACACACATGAATTTGGAATCACCTAAGGAAATTAAAGATCGTACTTACAAACTCATTACTAACATAAATGCCTTAGAAATAAAAGGAAAATTAATTGGACAACTACAGAATGATAGAATTGAGTATTGTAATGTTGTTCAGTTAGGAATTCAACAAGGACATAATGAACAACTAATCAATGATATACTTTTTAGAAATGATTCTAACAAAGCTATTTTTTGTTCAACTGATATTTTAAAACAACATTCACATGAACAATGGACGACAATGTATTGTCAAATGAATACACTACGAGAAAATAATTCAAAGATGAGTCTCGTCTATGCTGACTTTACTTATAGTACATGGTATTTAGACAAGATAGTGATTCTAACATCAAAAGAACAAACAATAGGCAGATGTGAATCGAATTCGAAAATGATTTCAGATACAATAAAACGAAAAGCTCCTCCACCACCATCATCGTCAAACAATGAATATATCAATATTCTTCTTCTTGGTGAATCAGGAGTTGGTAAATCAACATTTATTAATGCTTTTGCTAACTATCTTCGATTTGATACACTTGAACAAGCTCAATCTGGAAAACCTGTTGTTGTTATACCTGTTTCATTTTTAATTACAGTAAATAATCAGTTTGACGAAGAACTTGTTAAATTTGGTGATGCAGATTCTAATGAAGATCATAATAATTCAGGTCAATCAGTTACTCAACAATGTAGATCATATGTTTTTGAAATTCTTCATGGAAAGCGAATGCGTATAATTGATACACCTGGTTTTGGAGATACACGAAGTGATAATCAAGATGAACTTAATATGAAAATCATATTTTCATTTATTAATAATTTAACACATTTAAATGGTATTTGTCTCTTATTAAAACCTAATGTTCATCAATTAAATCCGTTTTTATATTCATGTTTTACTCAATTATTTCAATTTTTTGGTGAAAATATTCGTGATCATTTTAGCTTTTGTTTTACTAATGCTCGATCAACTTTCTTTACTCCTGGTGATACTCGACCATTATTAAAATCATTGTTTGATTCATTTTCAATAAAACGAATTCCATTGGAAAAAAAGAATACATTTTGTTTTGATAGTGAATCTTTTCGATATTTAGTTGCATTACAGAAACATTTAGTATTTAATGAAGATGATAAAAAAGAATTCGAAAACAGTTGGTTACGATCTGTTGAAGAATCAAAACGATTTCGACATTTTATTACCCATGAACTAGAACCATATCGTAAAAATATTGAATGGCAATCAATTCAAGAAGCTCAATTACAAATCAATCTTATGATTCGTCCAATGTTGGAAGCAATGCGAAATATTCTTCGGAACATTCTTTTACATAAGACAAATTCTTCGATTAAGCTCAGTGCAACACATGCTGATCATCCAGCAATAATTTGTTATACATGTAATCGTAACAGTAATAAATTTGGCCCTTTTTGGATATTATCAGATTATCTGCATCACTTGCCTAATACGGTCAGTATACAAAGTATAATGAAAAGTTTTCGTTTTTCTTCTAAACTATCAAGAAGAAAATTCAATGTTGAAATGTGATGTTGTTACTTATTAGTCTATGTTGTATCTTTTTATATAAGTAAATGCCATACTGTTTGATTAGTTAAGGCAATCATTCTTTATTGTAAGCTATGAAAACTGATAACGTATAACTCCGATATTTTTCTTCTAACAACGAGAGAAGTCGTCTAACTGATATATCGCACTTGAATCAAGATTACGTGCATTATATAGATCGAAATAATCTATGAATATACTGAAAATAGTTTGCGTTCTAAGTTTATTGGTGTGGTGATAATGAACTTTTACAGTAATTTTCCTACGAATGCTATGGTCCAGAAAAACTGATTTTCGAATTTCAAATTGAAATTATAGTCAAAGTGAGTTTTTTACATCGTTCATATACGCTGACAAATTTAATATTCTTATTTCAGGATAGAAATAAATCAAAAGACTTGAAACTTTCACAATAATCTACTCTCATTAAGGTCTGATTATGTACAAAGTCTCAAATCGAAATTGGACAATCAGTTTCCCCTAGTTACTCTGAAGAAGATTACAGCATTCGTTTAAAAAAAAATACTGTAAAGATTCTAGTATCTAAACATTAATAAGCTAAGTATGCAAACTTTTTTTCAGGATATTCATAGTTTATTTCTATCTACACAATACACGTAATCTCGAATCAAAAGCGATTTATCATTTGTAGAACGTTTATTGTAAGTTTTAATTTTGATAAAATAAAGTAGCAGTTTAAAATTAGTGTTGTTATGAGAAATTAATAAGGAAGGAAATTAAATGTTAACATTTCCACTTCAAAATATCTATTGTTAAATAGTAAATATCGTTTGAAGAATTCTCTATCTAAATAAATAGTTCTTTTTTAATTCTATTTCAAAGATCTATGATGATATACATAGAATTCATTGTAATGAAGATAAAGTTAAAATGAAACCTTCATTTCAACGCCATTATTTTTTCCCAATCTTCATTTTTTATTATTTAATTTTTTTTGTTTCAAAGAACAGTTATTCTCTGAAATAATGTACAACAATAAGAACCTCAGAATAGACAAATTAAAAATCAAAATTCCGCTTGAAACGCTTAAATGTGATGATATAACCTAACCAAATATCGACATTATTGATAGATATCAGTAATGATCTAAAGAAACATAGAATTTATACATAATATTATTATTTATGGAAGACTTATATAATTTCAGTGTACTTCCAACGAACAAAGCCCAACACAATATAGACTCAGCTATGAGTTTCTGAATAACCAAACTAATGAATCAATGGAAATTCTGAACGAACAACAAATACTTCTCTATGAAATATATACCAAGTTGGTTCGTTTTCTAATAGCAACTCAGAAAAAACAAGATGATCCATTTTTATTGGGTCTTACAAGAATGATTAAAGAAGAACAACATATTTGTCAAAATTACGATCAAAGCAATTTTAATCATCAATTAGTTGATTTATTGATAACACTTAAAAGAAAATACGAAAAAGAATCAAATCAGATACATTCAGATGAGCAAAATCAGACACTATCAAATATATACGAATTAATAAAATCAGCTAATCAAATACCTATGGTAAAAGAACAAATGGATGCGATAAAACGATATCAAGAATTCTTTCTGACATCACATGAACAAAAAATATCAATGAACAGCTAACATGTTTTTTAATATTATAAATACTTTTACGTAACTTATCAATTATTATAAAACATTTTATTTATTCTTTTTCATATGTCAATTTGTTTTCAATTATTTTTCTATTTTATTTCGTATATATATAAACTAGACCTGTGACAATTTCCGATCAAAGAACTGAATCAGTATCAACCACCTAGTTCTTTTTTGATAACTGGGTGTGGGTATCCTTAAATTGAGTGTCCACACTGACGCCCACATCCACACCCTCATTTATTCTTGATGGGCCTCTCAAATGACGATGACTCACTATACACAACCATTAGGGCTTACATAATAATTATTTTCAAATAACGTTGATGGAGATTGATCCAAGAGCGAACAAAGTAATTTCAAATTGATTTCAACCATTGAAATCAGTTTCTTCTTCATTGGATTGATCTCTGTAAAATTATCGGATCAAATGTAACTGGGACGACATAGAATGGGACGAATTGTAAGGAGACGAACTGTAGAAGTACCAGAAAAATAATAATCTTTTGGTATCAAAATTTTAACTTCTGTTTTTATTTATGATTTATTGATAAACAGCTGTGAATTTGATTTACGCGAAAAGCAAAACTAATCTTCGTCTATGCTATTTTTTCAGTCAAATCGACAAGAATATTGACAACTGGTTCATCATTATAATCTTTAAATGGACAAGATAAACCATTATTTTTCTTTTTCCATATCCAAGTGGCGGGATCAACAATTCTCGTTTCTTTTTCATTCATTTTTTTAATATAGATGTGACATGTTGCTGGATTACATGTTTGTATAAATGCATATTGAAAACTTTTTATATTTCGTGCATGATGGCAAACATGCCGACGTAATTGAGCGCCTAAATTTTTACCTGTATGCATAGATCGTGTTGCACCAGCTACAATAAATAGAACCATGTTTGGTTTTCATTCTTGATTAAAATCATGATGAACAATTGGTCGAGCATTTCTGTAAGTAAATCTTTCGTTGGATATTGAGATGCAAGACTGGAATCATCATATGGATATGTTTTACAATATAAAAATAGGTCACTGGCTATAATAGCTGCAATAATTTCATTCGTTGGACGATGTCATATCAAAAATGACAATTTTTCGTCGAGTACATTGATGATTAACGACCAATGCCGTTACTCAAATAGCTGCTCAGCTGCTACTCGATTAAAAGCCATCAAAGGATTGTGTAAAACGAATTCTTCGGCAATTAGTTTAGCACATAACTGAGCATCTATTTCATTATCGATTAGAGCAATGTCATATTCATTGTTCCTAGCCATGTGACAGATAAGAACAAAATGAATATAAGAGAAGCGTACATACTAGAGATCTGCGTGACCAATTTGTCGTGACCAAAAAAAAATAAAGATCATTCGATAATTTTTTCCACATCCATCACGGAAACTATTATCGAATAATCTTTATTTCTTTTGGTCACGACAAATTGGTCACGCAGATCTCTAATCATGAAGTATAAATATGAATCATTTCCTTCGAAAAAATCAATCAAGTTTTTGAATCAAATAAATGATTATTTTCTTTTATATTTTAGATTTGCTTCAACAAAACAAAATCCAACAATACAATAAAATAGAAACTAGGCATTGGTTTTCATTACTTATTTCGTTTCTTTTTTTTTAAGAGCACAAGGATGGTGAGAAAGACCTCCTTTGATCTTTTCTACTTATTTCGGTTTCTTGCTATCTTAAGTATACAACACTGATCTATGGATAGCAGTGGGATAAGTTGTTTTCTTTATATTTTTAAGACTTAGAATTAATCGAAATCCTTTTTCTTTCCTTCTTGTCATGAATAACATTGCATCGCGTCAATGTCCAACACCAAACATATTAGACACCCTTTATATGTTTCTCGAGATGAGATGGAGTGAGACTCAATAAAGTGAGTGTTAGTGAGACAGGGGAAGGTAAGTCATGTTCATTGAGGTTAGACACCTGTTATCTTTGTAGGATTTGGTGTAAATGATTTGAGTCTCTTTTATGCGTGCATGAACTTGACGTTCGTCACAATTCCACTAGTGTGGCTCGTTGTCACAAGCCCGTGCGAATAGAATAATCATTTCTTTGATCAATTCAGCGTGATTTATTAGTAGGAAAGAAAAGAAAAAAGATTGTTTATCGTAAGGAGTCTATAAAATAGAAAGCTGTTGAACACGGTAATTGCCCCGATCGACAACATAGAGATTGCCATGACGATCGAAGGACAAACCCATGGGACCGTGAAATTGATTTGCTTTTGCTCCTGCACCATGTCCACCCACAATGATTGTGCCTTGTGTCGCTGCTTGGGACCAACCCATCACTCGATTATTCCATGTGTCTGCTACGCAGACAGTACCCCAAGCATTGACGAAAATTCCGTTAGGATACGACAATTGTGTCAGGCCACTTCCTTGACCTTGATGCCCAGCGACGACAATTCCTTCAGTTGCACCTTTCTCCCATTTCATCACACGATCATTGCTCCTATCGGACACGTAGACACTCTGTTGTTTATCAACAAATAGGTAAGTCGGACCATTGAGTTGATTGAGACCACTACCTATACCATTGCCACCTGCAACGACGATTCCATTCCGGTCACCTTTTTCATATCGTCTTACTTCATCTTTCTCGTAGTCGGAGATGTAAAGATATCTCTGATCATCCATAGTCAATCCCCAACACTTGACATGATGGATGAGAACTTCTCCATGAGCTGTACCACTACGACGAGACCATCGTACTACTCGTCGATTCTCTCGATCACAAATAATGAGACTATCTGTCTCTTTGTCGATCATCACATCAGTTGGTTCATTTAATTGATCCAATCGATTTCCTTTGCCATGGCCACCAGCTACTACTTGTCCATTCGTCTCACCTGCCCTCCATTGAACGATACGATGGTTATATGTGTCAGCGATGACTATCGTTTGATCAACATCAACAAAAAGACCATGAGGACCCCAGAGTTGATTGGTAGCACTACCATATCCATGGCCTCCAGCAACGGTTACTCCATATCGCGTCCATCGAGCATTGGCTGGAATATTGGGAATCACTGCAATGAACGAGGAAATGAAAAGGAATCATAATCATGGTTGTCAACGAATAAGACATTCTTCTTTATTGAAGGAAACTTGATAAAATTTTTGAGAATCTCCTTCGCTAACATATTCTCAACAAAAAAACGGTTCTCTCGTACAGATCCAAATTGGGAAACCTTTTCCTAGTTTCTTCAGAATTCGTGTTTACAAGAATTTATCTAAAATTTTGCTAAGATTTTTAAGATTCTCAGAAAGAGAACTTTCTGGAAGTAGCAGTTCTGAAATACAGAGAAGAGTGACGGTAGTCCTATGTAAGGTCTGGATATGAAAACATAAGGGTCTGATGATTTTATTCATAATCTATATGATAGACTGCAGACAGGGTTTTAAGCAATAAAATAAAGAACTGTGTCAGATGGCGAACCTGAAAAAATGCTGAGAAGATTCTATCTGTTTTTCTAGTTTTGAAATGCCGATGATATTTTTTATCAGGTTTTTGCTAAATTATACAAAACTCCTCCTAAGGAGGTTTCTGAGAGGAATCTAGCAAGATCACATCTATGTTACATGCGTGCAAAACTGAGAAAGTGTGAAAAGATTCCACGCAAATCTTTGGAGAGGAAGGCTTTCTACTGAAGATAACGAATACCTTAAAGTTTTTGAGAATACAATAAGAAGGTTAATACAGAAACTAGTATTCTTGAAACTGCTGAAAAGTCTAATACTAATAGTATGTTAGCTATCAAGTAGCAAATATAGAAGCTTGAGAATTTTATTCACAGTTTATAATGCAGAATCTTATCAATGAGTATCAGACACAACACTAGCAAATTTAAATGCCTAAAAGGTTTGCGTTAAAGCCATTCAATAATTTACCCTGTCAGAATCCTAAAAAATGGAAAAATGTTGAGAAGAGTTTATCCAAATCTTGTAAAGAGTAACACTGGCGTCGATCTCCTCTTGATGCATCACGTACAACAGTAGCCACATACTCATTCGATTAACTTTTTTTTTTATTAGTACAGTTGTTAGTTCTAGAAACGGCATATAATGTCAACCGAAGAGACTATTAAGTGATAGGTCATTTTCAGTATTATGAAAAAATAGCCTATAATAGGTTTATAAAGTGCTCCAAAGTTAGTCCTCGTAAGAAATTCATCGACAACAGGAAACTTTACTATAAAAAACATAATTTCTAAACTTTTAATGGCCGTATGACTTTTCCATTTTCGGCAATCGAGAACCTTCCAGCTTTACGCAATGTTTTTAGTTGAAGAGCTTTGAAGATATTACAAAGTTACGGATACCGAATTCTAAATTGAAAACCTTCTCAACAAATTTTTCAAGATCGTTTCTGAAACTCTATTTTATGAGGTTGCCTCAATATGAAAACTTTTTTTTTGAGTGAAAGGACTCATGGAATCCAGACAGGTTAAGGAAGTAATAGAGATTCAAAGAACTTAAAAAGCGACAGGCGAGAACAAGTATATAGGTGAAAGGGTAATACTGATGTTCAAGATAAATTCTCTTAATCCTCACTGGAATATCGTCGAACTCTTGTAAAAAAGAAAGATTTCGAGGAGTCTGACATGATAGAATTACAAGATTTGAAATGATTCACAACAGTTTGTTTTCATAAAATCCAGGTCTAATCTGGTTAGATTTTGATGAAATACTTCCTTTTCTATGATAGTTCGGTATCGAATCATAGATTGAATCAAATCACTTGAGAATATAAAAAATGGTCCAATTCTATCGAATACTGTTTTATTGATGAAAATAATTCGTATTGATTAAATAATTTTATTCAATTATCAAATTTATTTCTTTATCATATATATACTAATCAGTATTTTGACATTTCATTTTTTGATTATTTTACACATACGTGTCATGCAAAATGTTATTTCATTGAGAAAACATATAAATAACTTACCAGAAGTATTTGTATTCGATGACTCTGAAGCTAGTTCCATTTTATTCATAGTTGATGCTAATGATTGATCATCATTGTTATCAAGTTCAATCAAATGTACAAGAAGTGAACCATTCGATTGCTTTAAAACATCGCTCTTCACGCGAAATTGCGAGCCCATTCGTAAAATAATTTCATCTTCATTTTTGTATTCTGTATAGCCAGAAATATTTTTTCCTTTAACAGCTTCAATTAAAAAAAAAGTTGCATTTTTATTGTTGCCAATGAAACTTTCAATAATTTTGACTGATGAAGAACATGAATTAATACTCCACCACGTGAAAATTTGGTTTTTGATGAAGTGCTTGCCAATATCAAGAGGTACACCTCTCCATACTACATCTTTAACAGTAGGTAACTTATTCAATGCTGTATCAAATAGTTTTAAGTATGGAAACCATACTTTTAGTGCTAGCCGATTTTTGGACCGCAATGCTTTATTCAATACACGATACAAAGTAGTATCACTCCATTCCATTGTATAGATATAAACTGCAGCTGATTGATCATGTGTTAGTCCATGTTCTGACGGAAAATGGGCATCTCGTTTAGCTATGTTTATAAAACGAGGCAGTTCATCAATTTGGGATTCGATAGGCTCTAGTGCTTTTTCGAGTGAAACAAGCTTTTCAGCATGATAACCATAAACAGGTGGAAGTTCGTTAAATGAAGCCTCGATATCACCAAAACGATTCATCACGTACGATTGCTACGAATTCGAAGTAATTGATTAAAATATTTTTGACTTGTTTTTCTATAGAACATTATTTAGAAAAATTTGTTACTCGTTCTTTTCTTTCTATATAATAATACTACAAAAACTTTTACCCGCAACTAATATAGATTCATCTAAGGGTTACGTTTCTTGACACTACG